ATATTCTGATCTATGTTCTAATGTTTCCTCATCACAAACAGACCTGGAGTTGTGTTTTGTTTCATGTTTAACACACAAACCTGCATTTTTAGGCTCAGCTCTTCTCTCAAAAGGAAAACACTCCATTCCACTTTGTGATGTCATGTGGCAAAACACCTCCACTAGAATTATTTGGATGATTTCAACCCTGGAATTGTCAATCTCTACTGACCTCAAACCCGGATTATCCACATGGCCCGTGGCACCAACCATTCACAATCAGTGGGGGGGCACCACAGGATACAAACTTTTAAAATATTTTTCATAAATTTGTATGTTATTCACTTGAAAATGTTAAATGGCCATACATAACTCATCATTAACACTAATTTCATAACACCTACTTGATACACATTTTGAATTGAGACATTTGATTATCCTTACATGTACTTTTGTACTAACTTTTTTTTTTTTTTTTTTTTCTGGGGACCCATATTTTAAAAGTCACAAACCTTCATGACCCAAGTTAATAGACATTATTCCTAAATCACAAAATAAAGGTGTGACCATGATTGAACATTAATGAGGATGTTTTATTGTTGACTGACTGATCGTGTCTCTGAACAATTTGTATTACTCAAGTTTGAAACTATGAAAAACAGTAATCAGTTTTTCTCACAGAGAATAGGTTAGGCAAGGCGGTGCTGCGGAAAAAATAAGGAGCTGGGAGGGGGGCGCAGAGATTCCATGCGTAGTTAATTATACAAAAGTTCAAGGTCAAAACAATCAAGAGTGCAAGTCATGTGAAGAAGTACATGCATGCTGCTGAGTGTTGCATTCAGGCCACACAAACCACAGGTCGGGTTGTGCTTTCATTCTTCTACCGTTGCTTGGCAAAGTCATAACATGCAAATTGAAAGTGTGGGGGGGGTTTTTAGGTTATGTCAGATAGTGCAAGTTATGTTCTAATTACCCACAAATCATTTCCGAATGCATAGATTTCGTGACGCAGTATGTCTGTGATGCTACCTGTAACTGTGGCTTTGCAGCACATATTAACATATTAAGAATTGCATTATTGTTTTAGAACATTGTCAAAATAGCAGTGCAATATATGTGCAATATCTTTTGACTTGTTTTTTGAGTCTTTTACACCCGTGTGTCCAGTGGCGAAAACCCCGGGGAATCTTCGTATACACCAAGTTCCACCCGTAGTAAACACTTTCTGAGACAGTAACTACAGAGAAACTAATCACACCTTGCTAGTTGTTACAGTAAGGCGTGTCTGTTATTGGTCAAGTCAACTGAAATATTCTGTGATGTTTTGCGTGATCGTTCAAAGCTCCTAACTCCTTAGACATTCCTCTTACACTGGCGGCATCAACAAGGGACCTGGTTACACAATTCCGATGTCTGGTCTTGAGTTAGGTGTCACTTTATGTGTATGTAGAGTGACATCGCTAACGCAGTATCCAACTAAAACAGATGTCGTAGGATCTGAGCATGCAAGTATCCCTTTCTGTCCCATCTGGAGTATGTAACCCACGTTACGTAACACCACGTCCGGTGGCACCCTTACTGTGGCGGGATAACCCTCTTTAAGTTCCGGCGCCACACACACACACACACACACACACACCCTTCCTGCTCCTCTCCTCCGGGGCTACAGCGCTGTGGCTAAACGTTTGGAAAAGGACGCCTCACCATGGATCTGATAAAGATTTACCGTCACCGCTACACCCTTCTTTCCTTCCCCTCAGAACACATCTCAACGGTGAGTGACAAAACTACCTCTCCTGAAAGATCTCTGCAATTTGTCCGAACCTGTCAACACCCGCATAGTCAGCTAAGCTAACGCCCACCACTCCCACAAACAAACGCCGTCAGCGCGGCAAACAAATTGACTTTTTAGTTTAATTCCCGCTTTATTTTACTTTTCACTCAACCCGAATGCTTCACCAACGCCATTCGCATTGAACGGACAAATTTTTAATTGATTACCCCAAACATTAATAGAATGTTAGCTTA